AGCAGGTTAACATGTTAATATGTCAACAGGTCAGCAGGTTAACATGTTAATATGTCAACAGGTCAACAGGTTAACATGTCAACATGTTAACAGGTTACAGGTCAACAGGTTAACAGGTCAACAGGTTAACAGGTAAACAGGTTAACAGGTTAACAGGTAAACAGGTTAACAGGTCAGCAGGTTAACAGGTCAATAGGTTAACAGGTCAACAGGTTAACAGGTCAACAGGTTACAGGTTACAGGTCAACAGGTTAACAGGTCAACAGGTTACAGGTTACAGGTCAACAGGTTAACAGGTTAACAGGTTAACAGGTTAACAGGTTACCTGTTAATGTAAGAAAAATGGGATGAAAAGTCAAAGTAAAGCCTGAATGAAAAATGAAGTTTGAATCTTCTGGTTGTTTCGTTTCTGATTTGTCATTTTCCCGTTCCTCTTTCTGTTTGTCAGAAAGAAGACAGAATAAAAACGCAGGACTTGGAAGGAAGAGAGAGAGGAAACGAAGACGCCAGCACGCCAGCAGCAACGCCGGCGTCTCGTCCAACGCCACGACAGACAGAACCGGAGGAACCGGGGAACCCTGAGACAGATCCATCTCGTTCAACCAACCAGAACATCTGGCCTGTTTCCAGTCAACCGGCACGACCGAGAAACCGACACGAGCGTTTTGATTTTACCGTCTCCCCACAAACATCAGGTCCAGGTTGTAGTCCAGATGGTGCTGGAGAGATCTGAACTGACCTGATGTTTTCTTTCTTAACTTCTTCAGTCAATTAAACTTATTTATTCACAACACGGGCCATCGATCGCTGCTACCCAACAAACAGGTCCATTAAACTCCTGTGTCGAGCTCTAACTTTTATTTAAATGTAACTTTCTCCGAGTCAGAAAGGTCCGAGTCCTCTCAGCCTGTTTCGTTTCCATCACTGAAGAAGAAATGCTGCAAATTTACCCAGAACATAAAACCAAAATATGTGCATCACTCATCAGTCGGACCATCCAATTAAATCACTTCTTAAACATTAATATATTTTTTTATTAACATGATGAATTGCATTGAGCTAAATAATTGTCTAACATTGCACATGTACATTTTAGATGTTTTTTAATGTTATTTCTAAAGAAGATGAAAAGTATTTCTTTCTTTAATGACAAGCTTCTGTTAAATGTATATTTATCTTTATTTCTTTAATTCCACATTAAATGTATATATTTTGATGTTGCAGCCTCACTTCTGCTCAGACTGGAAACCTGTAAATATGACACTTTTGTAATTATTATTGTTGCAGAGGACGAGACCTAAAACGGTAAAATATTTCCTTCTCATGCTGATTTGTGTTTTCTTTGCTGGTTTTCTTCTGATAAAATATCTCGGGTCAGGTGAACAAACTGCCCGAGTTTGATTTGATTAAACATTTTATTCATATTAAAAACTTGTGGTAAGGTTTTATTTTTAGGTCAAAATATGTCCAGTTAAAAAAAAAAATTGGTTAATATAATTTCAAAATATAAAGATTATAACAACCGGGTTAACAGTAATATGATTAATACATTTATTCAATATTATTTTGATCAGGACTGAAATTTTATTTGAAAATGTGACTTTTTACCAGTTACATAAAAACCAACTGATTAACTTTTTTTTTTTAAATACAATAAATAAAAATGATAGAAACTATGAAAGTTGTGATTCATTTAAAAACCGTCATCAGGTGTCTATGTTAAAGAATCAGGGTTAAAGATTGTAAAGAATGTTTCCACTGTGCAGGGTACAAGAATGATGGTGATAACGTGATGGTGCGCATCAAATACGGCTGTAGTTTAGATTAATCTAAAGATTGTTTGAATACGGCTGTAGTTTAGATTAATCTAAAGATTGTTTGAATACGGCTGTAGTTTAGATTAATCTAATGATTGTTTCAATACGGCTGTAGTTTAGATTAATCTAA